CAGAAAGATTTAAACATGTTGATTGCTGCTCAAAATCATTTGCATCAATTACTCGTATGACAGTGTCGCGGTGGATATTCACATCCTTGTAAAATTGGAACTTCAAGCAATCTTCAAACGTAGGTACGAATAATTTGATGTCAAAACAAGGACTGTGTTTGTCATCTGGGACATCATATAATACGACACCCACGAAGAAAGGACCATTTACAGAAACGCCACGAATGTGATCTTTCACGACTACAACTGTATCCATCTGAAATAAATTGCCACCAGTCCTCTGATCAGGTCTACGACCATTGTTAATATTACCCTCATTCTCTGGTCTAGCCTGGAGAACATCTGAGAAATTAATCAGTTGTGGTACGGAATCGTTAGCCGTGTAGGCAAACAAGGGCAGTGTACCGACGTTATCTTTTGTCGTTTGGTTTCGGACTGTCCGTTGACGTACAGGTTTCCCAAAGCTGTCTCGCCAATCTCTCATCACTTTTTGGTCTTCTTTCGTCATTTCTACTGATGGAGGGAATGGAATCGAAGGCAATTCCTTAAAGGAACATTTCATTGCTTCTGGTACTTCGTAGTATGAGGACGGTGAGGTATAGTAGAGGAATCCTGTATGTGTAAGCTGTTTTAATGTCTCTTGAATGGTAGGGCCAAATAAGTGAGCAAATTCGATTACAGTAGGCATGTCATTTCTTGAACGCATTTGGCTGAAGAAATTCTCCACGACAAGAGTTAGGGTCGAGGCTAACCTAATGTCATCGTGGAATGCAGGATTGACCTCGTTGAGGAAGTTTTCAAGGGATGAGAAGGACTGGCTCAAGATATGCATGCTTCGTAAACTCTTCGATGACACTGTTCCATGGGGCCCTTGGGTTGCAATTTTCTTTCCAAGAATATTTTGCACTTCGTTGACCCATTCTTGACAAGAAGAAATTATATCATTGAAGGATGACAGTGCCTCTTGTATGGTGTGTACTTCTGCTTGTACTCCCTTCAAGTGCACCCCAAACATCTTGTATAGTACATCTAGCAGCTCGAGAAATTTGCACAACGAGTTGGTAGGACTAATCATTATTACAGCTCCAACAGCGGTGTCAGTGACGTAGATGGTTTCCCCCTCGACGCACAAGGCTGTTGGCTGGGTGAACGAGGCAGAATGACATGAACCATCTTTTGAGCTCTCTGTGCCTGATCCAGCAAACCTCTTAATTGCTACATCCAAACCTCTTCATCCACAGACGCCTGTGGGATTTTCTAGAACTCCCTTGCAATTTCCCTTGTAAAGGCGAAACTTCTCAGGAATTATGGTTTGAACAACACGTGGAATTTTTCCGATGATGTCTCTCACCGATGGTTTAGCTATGACAAGCAAATCTTCAACTGACATTCTATCACGATTTCGGATGGCGCCGAGTGTTGTTGCTTGGTGCATCTGACGTCTAATGGTTTCATCTACATCATTGTAAAGCACGCGAAGATTTGACAGATTAAATCTCTCGCCATTGTGGTACAAAAACCAGTTGGCGAAGGCTGACTTAAAACATTTTCCGAGATGAACCACTTCTGGTACCGGGTTTAGATGCTTCAATTCGCTGCCAATTGAACCATCTTTGGAAAGGCTAAGAATACGTTCCATGGCCTGCTTGTTGTTTTCCTCGCAATCAGCTGTCCACACAAGTACCACCAGCTTTACACATTTGGAGCCATGCTCGATGCAACGGTCACAGGCGCGCAGTGGACTGTCTATAAATCTGTGTCCAATTCCATGACAATTTCGGCAAACTTCTTTGGTTTGTAAACATTCTAAAAAGAAACACTTGAAATGTAGCTACTGTATATAAAACTGCATGCTGCATAGCCGCTAAAATTAAACTACGACTTTTTCTTTTGCCCCTTTTGGATTTTGTGGGACCGCCCAGGAAATATCTCTAAAACGAAGGTGAGTTTTCAAGTTGAAAAGGACAAAACTGTTTATGTAAATCAATGTACCTGGGCAATTGCTTGAGCATGATTCTCCTAAATTGGTGATGACGCTCATGTCTGTTGGAATGTATTGCATTAGACATCGAAGGCAGATCTGCAGCTGTTTAACCCATTTCATTATCGTATCAGCCTTATCTTCTCCAGAAACACATTTTCCACTGTATTCTAATCCAATAGGAAGGGATAATCGATTATCAAGTGAGGTGACAATTTGACAGTTAACTTCAGTAACGAATGCTCTCTTAAGGGTCTCTGGTTTAGGAGACGGATTCACCTTGACGTAGTTAAGATCAACTGGGAAAAGGAGTCCTACCAGGTTTTTTACGCGTGTATCAAACTGCAGGCCAGGTTTAATAGCAATTCCATCCGTAGCTAAACTAACTGGAATGGTGAAAAGAATTGGCGAATCCACTAAAGGGACTACATTGCTTTCTCCCAGCTGTGCAAGCAAGAGAAAGGTTATCAAAAGACTTTTGATAATGCCACTCTTAGTCGTATAGCCCGCCTTTCCTTTGTTTATGGTTGATTTCGATGGTACAAAAGGAAGGTTCCAATCTTTCCATTGGAAATTATACGTCCCACCTTTGTGCTGTCCTTTGAAACCTGGACCGCGCAACAAATTAATTACTCTGTAATTTAATTTTGCATTTTGAACAACAGGGCCCTGGGGACGAGGATGGTTTGTATTTGGAACTGGTCGGGTTATCATCGGTTGTATTCGATTTTCCATGTGCTCTTTTGTCTCTTTCCTTCTCAGCTTCTCTCTTTTCAACTCAGCTGTTTGAATTGTCAAGGTGAAAAATCATGTCGAAGTCCAAAGACGAACAAGAAGGTAAACTCATTGTAAAATTATATATTCTTTAATCCTTTTTTCTTCAATGAATCATGCTTTTTATTAATATTTTTATATCCCGCATCTTATGCAAATGATCATGTCAATGTGCATGGGCTATGCGCACTGATCAGTGGCTATGCGGCTATGGCATATTAAGATGGTTTTAAACAGAGTTTTATATGTATTTCAGATTCATCATTGGTGGGATACATTCACAAATTGAGTCCTATAAAAACATAAAAAAATACAAATACGAAATACTTCAATTGCAAAATACAAGTTGCGAATGAAAAAGCTGTAAAAGCTGTATGTTATTCACCCGAGAAAAGAGTGAAGATTCAACAAGCTTGCGAAAACAAGTCGCCAGCGAAAATCGTTGGGCAAAGCGAAACAGATCGACCACATTCAATGCCAATAGTGAAGAATAATGACCTATGTGATGTCAATCTAACATCTGAGGAACTACAAAATAATATTATCACTGGTCATTGCATCGGGGTAAACATTAAGAAAAGTTCCTCCTGTATTGCCTGTAACAACTCCTTGGAGAACATCACACCTGAAGAGGAAACTATAACGTGCCCAAACTGCAATTTGACAACATTTGTCACCATGTCTAAAACAAAACTGGTATGCCAAATAATGTTAAAGATCGATGAAAAAAAGGCAAGTTATACTATGTTTAATGATGGGATTTCCAGTTTTCTAAGAACTATTGGGAATCCAACACCTATGAATGAGATACCAATAATGGAACTGAAAAAGTTATTTTTGAAAGCTGGTCCAAAACAGATGATCATAGATAGATCCCAAAAACTGATTTTTCAGTACTTGTGACATTTTTCCTCATGTAGTTAAGATTTATGGGACTTGTTATGCCAAAAACGGATTTTTCAATATTTATGACATTCAATATTTTTGTCATACTGTTAATATTTTTGGGATAGTTTATAACATTCTTCTGAGGCATTCATAGTAAGGCATTCAGAATAGGTGACAATTTTGTTGTAGTTGACTTTCTGTTATATGTTTTTGGGTTTGTATTATACTTGGAGACTTTGTCTGAGTGTTGTAATCTGAAATTTCAATGTTTTCTGGGTAGTATTAAAAATTTGTCAAAATACATCTTTTTTACTTTTTTCTATCCTCTTGTGCAATGAACATAGAGCAATGCAGAAGCAAAGAGGGCAAACATTCAATTTAACTGCTTAAGAGTCAAAATGAGGAGAAACTTGGCATAATAATGATACTGTTTTCAATTTGCTTCATTGCATTTATAAAACTTTAATGATTAATCAAATTAAAGTTGTAGTAGATGATAACTGAACAACATTAACATGATGTTGACAGTTGTGCTTTGTTATACATTTTAAGCAATATTTTTTAACATCCTTCTTGCATTATAAAACTGACAAAATTGCAAATTTTTATGCATTCCTTGAGTACTATTCTGTGCACATACAATGAGGGAGTGTTGCCTCTGTGCACAGGCTACTTAAGTTACATTCACAAGCTTCTGGATATAGTCCATGATTAGGTCACTCGAGACTGTTGTCAGCATACAAGTCATGTTATGAATAGTACAATTATACCAAGAATGTTGAAAATCTGGAGTATAATCCATATATATATAGGACTTTATACATTGTATGTCAGACCACAGTTAATCAATACTGTGGTCAGACCTATCCATGATATACCACTGTAGATATCAAGAAGTTCACTTGTACCATAGCACATCTGTACATGTTGATTTAGCACATTGTATGCCAGATCCATTGATGATATATAATCAGTGTTGGTGTTAAGAATTGTCTTGTTACTCTTGTAGTATAACACATGTTGGTTTGGTAATTGTATGCAAGATCCATCCATGATATATTATCAGTGTGGGTGTCAAGAAGTCCTCTTTCAGTTTCACCATATCACATGTTAGTTTGTAAGTGCTGTTGTTTGTATATAATTCAGTGTTGGTGTTAAGAATTGTCTTGTTACTCTTGTAGTATAACACATGTTGGTTTGGTAATTGTATGCAAGATCCATCCATGATATATTATCAGTGTGGGTGTCAAGAAGTCCTCTTTCAGTTTCACCATATCACATGTTAGTTTGTAAGTGCTGTTGTTTGTATATAATTATCCACCCATATTCAATACATTTCCATTCATATTTTCCAACTCTAATCTATAAAAAACACAACATTTTGCAAGAAAAAACAAATAGACAACATAATTGAGGGATGGGAGGGACATATAAAAAGTAGAAGTACATGCTTACCTAGGGATTGCATTATTTGTACTTATTATGTTGCTAAATCTACCTGAAAGCAATTAATCAAGGCACAAACTGCCTTGTGATCAGAAAAGTAAGTTTCTAAAATGTGTGAACTAGCTTGTGACTCTGGTAGATTTGTATAAATATGATCTATTACAGTATGATTGTCTGTAGTGACATTAGACACCAATTGTCTGTAGTAGTAATCATTGATAAAAAGGTTATATAAAGGCCTTCTATTGGTTTCATCCAACCAATTCATATTAAAATCACCTATGAAAATGTTAAATTGTGAGGTATATAAGCACAATACTTCATTTAATGCTGCACATAATTACTGGACTGGAATTCTGGGTGATCGATATACACCAATTATAGTAACATGTGGAAGAATCATTGCTCTCATCATGGTTATTTCAATACCATTAACATTATGACTATGCGGGTATCCAGGTAAGAATTTAACTCTTCTGCTATTCTGCTAAATACTGCCATACCACCAAAAGGTCTGGTAGTAAAAGAGTGACCATCATTTCTGAACAAGGTGTAACCATCAATATCATACATGCTATCATTATCTGAATGCAAAAATCGAGTTTCAGAAAAAATATTTATGTCAGTATTTGTAAAATTAAAATCATTCCGAATGTCATCAATGTGTTTGTGCAATGACCGTGCATTTAAATAGCACACTTTAAATAAGACTTGGTCTCTCTTATAAATTGGAGTGATGCTTAGTTTCAGAACACGGTCATTTCTCAGATGTTCCATTTCAGCTACTACATGAGCATTGATAGCTATTTTATCTTCACATAGGTCAGTGATAATTAAACCTTCAAGTGATGTTACTCTACTCAAACCAACATAATGAATATGAGGCACTGATCTTTTAGTGTTGAAATTTACAACAATTTTTTGCTCAGTGTCACCTTGTGAACGGTGAATGGTCTTAGCTGCAGCAGGTCTCAGAGGAAACTGTTTTCTAACAACTTGTGCAGTTTGGTTTCTACCTACAGCAAACTGTGTAGTTATTGGTTTTATTGGGGTCCATGTGGACTCAATGCCTTGAACATAAAGTTGTCTATTTTCATGTCTAGTTTTTTCCCCAACATCTGAATGGTCAAATTGGACCCATATTATACCGGAAGGTTTATCTTTTTCATTCAACTGTATCTTTTTAACAACATTGCCAGCACCGTTAGTCATTCCATCATCAGTGCGAATATTTAATGCTATCTCAGTTCTTTCTCCAACTGACAATTGAAGATTAGAAACAATTTGCTTAGTTTTCCTAGGATCATCTGGTATTTGACTCAAAATTTTATCTCGAAGTTGAGCAGAGTTAGCCCCTATAACACTATCTATTGCTTTGATTGAAAACTTTTCAACAGTCGCTGCATTATGCACTCTTTCATTGAATTTGTTCACCTTTTTATTTTGTATGAACAAGTGAGGAATATCCATGGGATCTTGGATGCTATTTTCTCTTATTAGTCTTTCTTTTAGTTTCAAGATGTCATCTTCAGTCTGTTTTCCTTCCCTAAGTTTGTTTAATATCTCAGCAAACATTTTGCTATCCTTTTGTTTCATTATTTCTTGCAATTCAAACATATTGAAGTGATCTTGCCATTTGTTAGGAGCAAGAACAGCATATTGCGAATCGTCTATATTCTTAAATATATACCTGTCCATTACAGGTTCTAGTTGAAATAAATCACCAATAACAACCATGCTAACACCACCAAAATCTTCGTTACTTCCTTTAATATCTTTCAATCTATTATTTATTTGAACATTAAACATTGCACTACCAACCATTGAGATCTCATCTAAAAATATTAGTTTTAAACCACCAAATTGACACCGTAAAGTGTTCAACCTGCTTGAATCAAGATGTTTGTAATTCTTTAAACTTTGACATGCAGGTATTGCAAGTGCACTATGTATTGTGTTACCTTTAATATTGAAAGCAGCTTTACCAGTTGGTGCAAGCATTAATATTTTCACTTGATGAAAGTCATCGCCTTCTCTGGTATTGTAATACTTTAATGCTGCTTGATAAAGACACTTAGTCAGATGTGACTTGCCAACTCCAGCACCTCCACTAAGAAAACAGTAGAATGGATTATCAGAAATTTTGATAAGATGTAAAACATGATAGAAAAATTCTTTTTGTTCTTTGTTTAATTTTTGTACCATTCCTCGATAAACGTCATCCTGTTCCTCATGTAGTATCAGCTGTTCAGTATTTGACACATTGATGGAATTCCAAGATCAGAAGATAAATCATAGTTTTCATTGAAATTTGAATGAAGGTCTAGTGCACGTTCATCTTCATCTTGACGCTCAATGTTTTGAGTAACTGGGGCAAGAACATCAAAGTTATCATCATTATCCTTCCATACTGTTAAGTTGATCTTGAATTGCATTCAAGTCTTCAGTGCACATAGCATACTGCTTCATTTGTTCATCTATTATATTTTTAAGTATTACATAGTGTTCTTGATAAGAAGAACAATGTTTTAATAAATCTGTTGTTTCATTTCTCCATGATGTGAATAACATGATTAGTTCCCGATAATGCTTTTCAGAATTAACCTCTTTGTTAAAACAAACACTTCGAATAATTCTGGCTTTTGCTCTTTTTTTATTTTTTGTTTCAATTTCCTTTTCCTCGTCATCATTATTATCACTCAAATTTGTCTCATGTGGGTAGTTATCAATATCTACTTCACGAGATCGTTTAATATATGGCTTACCAGTAGAGTCATACCATGCTGCCCAATCAGCAAGTCACAGATTTTCAAGTCTTGCAGGTCGTTTAGTATAACGCTTTATTAAACCAGATGCATAAACTTCATCAGAATCATCTTCCAAATTGCTACTTTCTTTCAAAGATTTTGGCAATTGAACTCTATCCTCAGGGGGTGAGGTATTAATAAATATTACTTGACGAGAAGATTTCCTCATTGAAAGTTGCAGTACTATGTAGACTGCTTCTTGTGCACTTATTTCAACATTGTTTAAAAATTTATTACCAATATCTCTTACTTGTTGTTTAATACTACAGTTTCCTCTTCTTGCTTCTTCACAAGCTGTTCTCAAGAGCTCACTCATGCCTTTCTGAGCCTTGGATATATATGATACAATATACATTGCACATGCGTATACATCAAGTACAAATTGAATGTCCATATTTGCACGCAATGCATTTGATGGGTCGTCCCTTGACTGGCCGAGATTTTGGGGACAATTTACAGAGACGGTGAACAAGTGTTCCGTGGCACCGGTGAATAAGTTTGCGTATTTGTGCGGGTTTTTGTCGCCTAAGGTTAAAACTGCGATTGAAGGCTTACCTTTCACCCCTGAGGGCTTGAAGATCAGTATGGAAAGAATTCCGATGTAATTAAAGCATACATCAAACTGATAATAGATTTGCCTACTATTAATCAGCTTAATCTTAAGAAGGTACATCAATTTAATAACCAGTTGATGCATGCGGTTCAAGCTCTTTAAACTTTGAGCAAATTAGAGACAGTTAATGGATTTGTCCCTATGACCTTGGACAAACTTCAAGCAATCAGGGGGGACCTGGTGCGGACTGATCATGATTGGGAGGAATGGGACTTTGCAAAGCTGTCTGAGGCTCTCTGATTGTGGACGCGGCGAAATGCGATCGTTGAAGCGAACAAAGGAGAGGGAAACAAATCATTGAAGCAAGACAGATCGTCAAGGCGGTCGTTTTTCTCAAAGAGCCCAGAATGTACGTGTGCATACTGCGATGGGGGGGGGGGGAACACGAAACGGTTGCATGCAACAAAATCACTGACGTCAAATGTCGCAAAGAGATTCTATTGAGGAAAAAACTATGCTTCAATTGCGCAGCTGGTAACCATAAAGTGGCGAACTGTCCGAGCAAGCGTTCATGCCAAATCTGTGAGAAACGACATCACACATCTATCTGTGATACCAATCCGAAAGGCAACTCAATGGTAATGACCAGTAAAACCGGAAGCAAAGCACAGTCGTAGTTGTGATGGCTAATGGTATACGTTTGAGCACTGATTGATTCTGGCGCAGGTAGCTCCTTTGCTTCGGGAAAACTGGTAGAAGCTCTAAAACTCCAGCCTGTAGAAAAGAAAGTCAGTCGAATTGACATGTTGATGACGTCAAAAGTTGCGCAACTGGAGATCTACAAAGTCAAGGTGCAAGCACTTGATTCCGACTACGAAATCGAGACGAATTTGACAAAGGTAAACAAGGGCAAGTTGTTGTTCGTAGGAAATCCCAATTGCAAAAATCTTCTGCAGAAATACCCCCATCTAAGAGGCATAAATCTAAATGAGACCGAGACCAAGAAATTCCTACCAATCCATGTCGTCCTGGGCAGTGGGGAATATGCAAGAGTGAAAACCCAAGAGATACCTCGAGTTAGAAAAGAAAGGGAGCCAATAGCTGAGCTAACAAAACTGGGTTGGTTCGTTATGAGCCCTGGAACCGAATTTGATGCAGCAAGGATGATGGCAACTCAAACTTCTCATGCTGATTACGAAGCTCTTTGTCGATTAGATGTGCTGGGACTCGAAGATAAGAGCGAAGATAACAGCTTCAGTTCGAAGTCTACAATGAGCTCAAAGAGCAGTTGACCACAGCACCAGAAGGTTGGTACAAAACGGGGTTACCATGGAAAGGGAACCATCCACCACTCAAGGACAATCGAGAAAGAAGTTTGAGACATCTTACAGCCCTTCAGAACTGGCGAGATTTTTTTTTGAACGTTACGCCAAAGTGATAGAAGACCAAATGCAGCAGGGTGTCGTTGAAGAAGCGTGTGACGTTATATGTTAATTATTTTTATATTGCTGAATTTATGCATCACTAGTCGGGCGTGGCCTATATAAATGGCAAGCCTTAGTCACCTTAAAAAAAAGAACTAACCGACGTCAAGGGGAATACACCTTATAAAGGACACTTACTAATACAAGCACAGGGACAATCTTTGTATATGTCGATATTACCAACGTATAAACGTAAGTTCATCACTATTACTAATGAGTTCACACCTTCATGTATTTATTGTGTGCATTGACTATTGTCTTTAGTTTTCACCGACGAAATAATGATGTAAGTGTATGTTAGCGATAACAGAGGCTGTATGATTATATGGTATAATCCAATTCATAAAATCACTTTGTGTTCTGCGTTTCGTCTGGTTGACACTGTGTTCCCGTCCCGTACGCGACGCGACAAAGCGCCAACCCTAGTAAACAGAGTCGAGTTCTACATACCCCACCGAGAAGTCATCCGAGAAAGCGCCGCCACAACAAAATTGCGAGTGGTGTACGACGTGTCTGCGAAACCATCCCATCATGATCCTTCACTGAACGAATGCCTTTATCCTGGTCCACCCTTACAAAACAAAATGTGGGAGGTACTCGTGCAACAGCAAACCTTGCTCTTACTGGTGATATCATGAAAGCGTTTCTCCAGATTCGCATCAGAGAGGCAGAACGAGATGCACTTCGATTTCACTGGATGACAACCGGTGGAGATTTGAGAACTCTTCGGTTTATGAGAGTCCTATTTGGTCTTTCCTCATGACCATTTCTTCTTGGGGGAGTCATAGCTTCACACTTAGAACAATGGAGACGGTATCGCCCCGAAGACGTAGCAGAGCTCGAATGGTCCCTCTACGTTGACAACATCATCAGTGGTGGAGAAACTGTGGGACAAGTGAAGCAACGCAAAGAGGCAGTGATTAACATCCTCGAAGACGCAACCTTCAAACTTCACAAGTGGGCTTCGAACGTGAGTGCCCTTGAAGACAAGGCAGGAGAGTATGAGTACAAACAGCAGCTTGGCGTAAACCCAAACGAATCAAAGATGCTCGGAATGCCATGGAACAAAGTTAAAGATTTGTTGAGCATCCTGTTTCCAAAGGCTGGAGGCAAGACAACAACAAAAAGAGAAATCCTCAGTAGACTCGCAATGATATATGACCCATGTTGGGCATTGCGTCTCCCCTCACCTTTGCAAGGGAAACTAATCTATCGCGAGACCTGAGACGCCAAGTTACCATGGGATGGGATACCGAACTCGAAGGTAGCCTACAAAAGCGATGGTTGTCATGGGAACAATCAACGTCCTCATCTGTGACGGTACCACAACCGATAGCTCCATACCAGGAACATATCAAGGAAATTTGTCTTCATGCTTTTGGAGACGCAAGTGGTCAGGGAGTCTCAGCTGCTGTTTACGGAGTGGGTAAACAAGTTTCGGTGAAACACAGATGCTCGTCGCAGCCAAATCTCATCTTGCGAAGAGGGGTCTTACCATTCCCAGACTAGAACTCATCGCGGGACACATGGCCATGAATTTAATCACAAATGTTGCTAAAGCTAGGGGAGCACGAAGTTATTGAACAGCATTGTTGGTTGGACACCATGGGAACCAAGAGAAACGAAACGGCCCCCTCAGTGTTTTAGAGACAAACAAAGCAAAGCAATAGTGGATCAAATGAGTCCAAGATAAAGCTACCAATACTCCACAATTCACCCAAACAAAAGTAGCCCTCAACCTTAAAGAGAATCCAGACGACGTGTTGTTATGTCATGGGAGAGTACAAGGAGCGTACCCAATCTACCTGCCAACCACTGCTACGTTTACAAGAAAGTTGGTGCAGCGAATCCATACCATCATTTTGCATGGCAGTGTCGGTTTGACCATGGCTGCTATAAGAGAAACATATTGGATCCCGACGCTTAGACAGCTGGTGAAAAGAGTGCGTAGTGAATGTTGGGGGTGCAAGTGGTTTGGGGCAGTGGCATTCGAGACGCCTGCACCTGGCTATCTTCCAAAGAATCTAACCGTCGGAGAAACAGCATTCAAAGTCCATAGGTGTCGATTTCACCGGCCCAATTCGGTACAGGGAGACCATGAAGGAAGCAAAAGCCTACCTAGTAATCTTCGCATGCAGTTTATCTCAAGCCATCTATTTAGAGTTGCTTCCAAATCTAATGACAAAGATTTTCATCCCTTGACTCCAGCGAGTTTTCTGTTCCAAAGAGCTAACCACTTGCCAGAACTTCAACCGCACGAAGAAGACGAGAATCTGCGAAAGAGACAGAAAGATCAGCTGTGGAATCGGTGGAGACAAGAGTATCTGACAGCGCTACGCGAGCGCCATAGGATGTGTGCAGGAGGTATGAGTTCGAAA